CTTGATGGAGCTTCATCGCCAAAAATTGAATTAAGTTCATCCATGCACTGTTGCTGAATTAATCCACGTCGAAAGTTGTAAAAAATAATTGCACAAAAATGTTCACGATTTAATTCCATTTTTGGGCCAAGATGAATATTTTAAGTTATTGTAAACAACACAAATAGCGTTCGTATGTCAAAACGGTCTGAGTACGTATAACCTCATAACATCCAACTTTACAATAGAACTGTCAGTTGCCAGATTGCAACACCAGGGTGGTCAAATCCCGAAACATAAAAGGCAACTTTCGTACCTTCTCTTTCTGTAAAAAAAAAAATAAATCTTGGAGCTAGGGCCTACATCACTTTGTAAATAAGCTATTCATTGTGCGCGTACGTGGATCTCAGGTCATGCCCCCCCCCTCACGTCTGTTGACAGACTGAAAATCAAAATATCATTTTATGAGCTTGAGTGCGGCCCCCTTGCCGAGCCAAACTGTATCCGCGAGAAAATTCATTGCGCGCGGCAAGGTTGCCCGATTGAGAAACTTTGTCCCCAAAATGGGGATTGTTTTCTTTGTGGGGAAAGAATGGACGGTGAAATTATTCTCTCAATTAATACAAATAAAAAATAAACACGTATTGTCTCATTTTTACGAATCAAAAAGGGGAAAATAAACAACAGGCACAGAGAATGAAAAAACGATAATATAGGACTTCGAGCAGCCTAAAGGTCGCTGATCGGTTGATTTAGATTCTTCTAATTTAAAGTGACAGCCAATGGAATCGTGAGGGGAGCTCATATCCTTGGTCCATAATTTGGAGAATATTTTTCGATTCAAAATTGGGATGTTTTGTTTCATTGGAGAGGGTGTTTGTGGAAATTCCGTCGTAATGGGGAAAGAGCTCGCAGAAAACCAGGCAACCCGGGTGCGCGGCGCATGCCTAGAGGAAGTCAAGAGGTGTTCACTTGGCGTGGCACTTCGCGTCGTGGCACACGGAGACTCGGCCCATCAGGCTCTTCGGCGATTCATCCGCGATCGTTCTCCACTGCCGTCGAAATCATAAGTTAGTTAATTAAGTTGGCATGAGCCTGCGTGTCTACGTGTGCCTGTAGGCGGGTTCTCGTCTGTTCGTGAGAATATACACACGCATAAATTTGTTCGACAGACCCGTGCGTTCGTATTTTATGACCTCTTTCGAGAACTTTGAATGCGGGTGCGTTGTTATTCACTTTACATTAACGTTGATGTCTTAAGTGAACGAAAATGCACAAGTCTTTTGAAATTTATTAGATGTAGACCTATTATGTGATGTGATTCGAGATACTCTGTATTCCAAAAGAAGCTCTTCAAAATAAAGTTTCATTTTACTTCTTTTATTTATTTTCCATTTTTAGTAATATTCACTCTATCTAAACCATGTACGAGAGAGAATATTTCTTAGATGCCTATAGTTATTAAGATTCTGTGAAACTACATAATCTACTATACATGTTATGTACTGGCGAATTAAACATTTTCACAAAAACATAGTTCATTAAACTGAAAATAGGTTCTTAAAAACCTGCGAAAGTATATTTTTAAATAACTTCTGTTCACCCAAAATCGATTTAGAAATTTTGTTTTGTACTATACTTAAAAATGTTTTCGTACTGGAAAATATTTTAGGCTGAGTAATATCGCAATCTACAGAAAGGAGAAAAATTGTGTGCAGTGACTCAGTGCCGAGTGTGTGTATATGTGTGTCAAATTGATTATGCACATTATAACTAAAAGTTTTCTGGAATTATATCATATAACTCATTAATTATTTTAATATTTAAGTAATAAATTAACAAATAAAAATACTTTTAAATTCAGTATAAATGCAAAATTCTTTTAAGAAAACGTCATGCCTTGACACTACAATGTAATAATTACATAATAATTACCCACCCCCAAAGGAGAGTCCTTGTTACGCTGTGTATTTCGATAGTGCCATTAACTACAAGCAAATTAGAAAATAATTGTACTGGTAAGAAATATATTTGGTAGCATTAAGTTATTTCTTGGGACAATGACTTGCCAATAAGACAAATCACTTTACTTATGTGTATCTTAAAAATAAATTCACAAATTGAGATAGAATGCAGCACATTTCCGCAATATTCCTTAAGTTAACGCCATTTAGAATGCGATTTGTATTAAAATGCCGTTGCCTTTTCAGATGGTTCGGAACTATCGAAGGAAATACACCCGCCTGAGATGGTCTATCGAGGACATGGATAAAGCCTTAGGAAGCATATTGAGGGGCGAATACAGCATCAGAGCGGCAGCAGAACATTTCAAAGTTCCGTACACTACGCTTCAAAACCGGTATTCGGGAACTGCAGAGTATAAACCAAAGAGGAAAAAGTCGCCTTTGGTTTATTTTCCATCCATTTCTTCTCTACCAAGTGAAAGCGAAATGGTCGACGTTTTCAACAGTTTGCCGTGTAACGATGATGAATTTGCGTCTTCGTCAGGTAGGCCATAACTGGCCATAGGCCAATACTGGGCTTTCGCAGATTCCAGTTAGATATGTTCTATACTTTAACAGACTTATAGTCGCGCATAGTCTGTATTTCTGCTTACTTTGCCTACAAGAATTTTATGGATGTTTGTTTAGTGCTTTAGTAAAATGTACGGATGGGGGAAAACGGGATCTGGACATAATGCTCATGACCTCCACATACTTCTTTTGCGAATCACTTTAACCAGTGCAGGAGTTACTAAACTGTCTAGACAGATTGTGGATTGTGTTTTACCCAAAGGTAAAAAGGCAAATAACGAAATATGCGGGCTCTAGTTGCTGCTGCGTTCTTAACTCGTATCACACACTATCGTTCGTAAATACAAGTTCTTTTACTTTCTCGTATACGTAGTATTGCTATTTTTAAAACATACGCCCGTGAAAAACACAAGCACTTCAACCGTACAGAGCATTTCTCCTAAAACAGGTATTTAGGACCCAACTCGTTTAGCGCCGAATTTGATCTTTCAATTTCTTGAGGTACTTCATATTAGAACATTGTCAAAATGTACCCAAAACTATACCAATGTTTTCTTAATTTTTTTTTTGTTCAAATAGGGTAAAATTCTATTATAAATCGACGTGTTTACAGGTTTCTTGTGCTTTAATTTTTTCCCCTTTAAAGCCTTTGTTCAAAAACATGGTTTTGATTATTGACATGGGAAGTGTGGGTCGAAAATAAGTGCGCTGCGAAGGTAAGTGGTTCTTAGTTGGAAGAGAGAGAGAGAGAGTCTGCTACTGATGTGAATTCAGTGGCAGATCAGAGGGGGCCATGGGAGTCATGTCCCCCTCCAAAAGGCTTTGGGTTTACGTTTCTCTTTATTTGGCGAAATTGATTAAAATATTCATGTTAGAATTATGTTATTATTTAAAAATAATATTGCATAGTATATATATATATATGCCCATACACTACAGTAATAAACAATATAACATTTTTATTATTCAACAAAAAGCTATGATGGTCCCCCTCCAAAATGATCGGCTGGATCCGCCTCTGCGTGAATAGTAGGCGAGACTTGTATGTATTTAAACAAGGACTGTGTGTAGTGGACATTGCATGCATGTATAGATAGACTAATAGATTTGTTAAGTAATGTTCTGTTTTGGGGCACTGAGGATACACGCTATTCTAACGGTAATCTACAGAAGAAATGAAACCAGTGAAAGTACGATTCATAATAAAATACTGTAGGAAGAGGAAGGTACATTCATGGGGATTGGTAAATTAGTATTTGCTGAACATGTCTTTGAACAGTCTTGAAAGTTCCCGCACAAAAAAAGCTACGTACACAATGTATTTCTACGAGTAGATAATGAATCCAACTGCAAGTTCCTGTTCTGATGGTTTGGCAATTTACCGTAGCCATGATATTGGAAACCACCATTGACTCCGCAATGTGTGTCATTGTGTTTTCTATTATTAATGTACTCTAACTGGATTAGTATCATACTTATGATCCAAATCAATTTACATTTTCAAATCTTCTGCTTTGTAGGAATCGGAAGTGATAAAATCGAAATGTTTGGGTTATTAAGAAAGAGCGTAATTTCTTTAAACCGTAGGGCGTAGACAATCGCGAACTACATCCTCGCACGTTCCTGCGAAGTTCACTTCATAGACGAGCCGATTGGTGTGCATAGGGTTTTGAAAACTCCACCTTTTTAATTTGTGCTTCTTAAAAAGTGAATTTTCCTTAAGGTCGGCATCAAAATTTCGCAAGACAATTTTCTTTACACTGCGAATACGAGAAAGCAAACATACATTTGGCTTCTGAGAACTGCCATATATTTGGTGACGCTGGAAGATGTAGAAGATTGTGAAATATTCAATGTTTCAATTGGTGAGTTACTATTCGTGTACATTTTCTGATTATGCAGTTTGTATTATTTGATAATAATGCGTGGTGTTTATTTGTTTTAGTGTTCAAAATTGTAATGCTGTGTATTCAGAGAGCCAGTGATGTTTATTCTATGATTGGACGGTAAGTCGAGAAAGTTTTTTAATTTTACACAATTTTGAATATTAGTGACGTGTTTAAGTGGGAGTGTGTTTATGTGAAAATTTTGTATTTAATAATTTTTGCTCTGAGTGTACAGTGAATTAAATTTGCAACGGTGCAACATATCGGAATTAGTTTAATAAAATAGATTTTGGAAATCTTTATTTCTGTTTAAACGGATATTCAGTCGTGTTTTTTCTTTTAAACTGTACGGGGAAAAATCAGAAATAACCAATGTTTTAGTTGCTGAATTTTTTAAATTATGGCAACATTTTTTCCCCTCAATTTTTCGTGTATTTCGAGACCTTTGCATTCGTAGTTCTAGGGCAGAGGTAAATTCGACGCAAGAGCCTTCGTTCCCGCCTAGCAAGTTTTCCTTGTGCGCATGCGCTGTAGGCTGCAATGGCGGGAGAGGGAGATGGTCCGCGCATTGCTGCAGGACACAGTTAAACCAGCAGTGAACATGGCGGCGGCTGTTGTGGATGGTGTTAGCAGCATGGCTAAGCACATGTTTGACGGTCTTGTGAATGAATACTATGGACGTAAGAAGGGAAACGTCAAACCTTGGACCAAAGCTCATTTGCGACGAGTTATTCAGTTTATTAATGGGGCTAACTTAGCTTATGAAATTGGCCATAAACGGTCGAATGCTGAAATATACTTCAGTAAATGTTATGAAGTGCTTTCTGTTGACGGCGTTCAACGGGTGGTAACCAAGAGAGCTAGAGACGACGGTTCAGTGAAAATAATGCTTGCGAAAGAAGAATATTTTGATATATTGCAGGCTTATCATGAGAAAATGGGTCATGTTGGTTACGATAAACTGTGTTCGGTCGTACGGGAACGGTTTACTTTGCCGAGGCATGTAATCGGGATGTTCGTCAGCTGTTGTAATGTTTGTAAACATTGTAAAGTGCCTGCTGGAATTCGAACAACCAGGAAGAGGAAAGCATCGAGTGTTACATCAAAGGGATCATCAGGAAAGGTTGGCATATTTCAGGATTTTGTTACAGTCTTAGTAAATATAATGTATTTGGCACTTCTATTCACCGACCAGGCTACGGACACGTTGCATGAAGTGAGAAAACGTGGGGTTAAGGTACTTGATCACGTGGAGCTGTTATGCGCGAGGCACGCACATTCGTGACTCACGACATTTCGCGTGATACAATAAGCGTGTTCCCGTGAGTGGATGGGAACGTGCGCAGCAAGCCAGTGTTCAGGCCAGTGTTGTGTTGAGAGGATGCAAACGCAGAAGCCCGAAGATTGAGGGAAACACTGAACGTTCCCCCATCGTCTGTGTTCGGGTTTTTAAAGTTTCCTTCCAAAAGTGTTTTTCGCGAGTACGTCAAAATGGAAAATGTGGGGATGACAAAATGTATGTTGATGCGTTTGATTAGTGAAAAGTCCAATCGTGTTGCTTTTGAATGTAATGAAAAGGGCAAGAGTGAACTATGGAAAATATTCAAACTGATAACAGTGGATGGAGAACGTCAACATTTTGCGTGGTGCTGTAGGTGCAAAGCTGTCATTACCTATGTACCTAGAACTGGAACTGGCAGTCTCATTCGGCATAAATGTACAGGCTTAATTCCTCCTGTAGGTGAGAGCAGGGTATAATTATTTAAGCTAGAACGTAGCCTTTTATGGATTCATTTGCGCACTGTTATTTAAATATTGTGCCAAACGTTGGTCCTAGCAAGACAAAATATTTGTAGTTCATTTAGTTTTGGGGGGGAGGCGAGGCGAAAATAATTCTGATTGTTTAATTTCTATTCACTTCTTAAGGGAAATACAGAACTTGTGGTAGTTACAAATGTAACTTATTAATTGTCAGTACAATATCACTGTCTCATTGCATGAATAGAAGTTTTATTGAAAACTTTAATGCACTGGTACAGTTGACCTGAAACTCTGGCAGCTTGACCTGCCTGCTCAGTAAATTATTATGGTACCATCTTGAAAGGTGGTTAACATTGTAATTTTGATCATGAATATTAAGAAATGAATAAAATTGTCTCAAGGCCTCTGCTCTAGAAACTTGACTTTTTTGCTTTCTAGCATTAATAAAAGTTAAAGCTCATTAAATATTGTGATGGAGAGTGAAGAAGAGAAGTTCAAGAATCTATTCTGGAAGTGAACTTGTCTATGTACATTTAATGTGAAAGTGCAATTTCATCCTAATAGGGTCCAAGTTTAAATTGTAAATTAGTTTTGTAATTGATACAAAAGTTCGAATTTTACAAGTTATTACTCCCTATTAAAGTCATGAGATTGGCTCTTGTAAAATGCCATCAATAATCTAAGATTACTTGCAAGTCTTTGTGCTGAGAAAAGTTTGTCTGATGTAGGTCACATAATGTTGTGTGTTCATGTAGTTCTGGAGAGACAATGTTTGCTTTCTCAGAAAAAATCATGATCTGCTTTATAAGGACATTCAATCTTTGTTTACTAGGTAGAGGCCTCAAAAATCGATATTAACTCAAATTATGATTGGACGGATATACAATGTTTATGCATTAAGCCATCAAAATTATTCTTTAATGAATCTAATTTTATTTTTTCATTTGCTAAATCAATATAGTTTTAGGACAATTAAAATATTAAAGTTCAAGTTTTACCAATAAGATTATTCTTACCTGTATTATAAACATGTTTTTTTTTTTAAGTCACTTTTATACTCCTATTTGTAATAATATTGTATTGTTACATATTACAACCACATTACAATTTCATTCTATTGTGATATGTGTCAGACATTCCTTGTTTTTGATGCTGATAATTCTTCTCTTCAGGCAAGTCCATACTTGAAAAACAAAGAAAAAAGGCAGAATTCCATCTCAAGTTTTGATAGACTGCCTGATTCCAATTTTCTGAATGTTGAAGACAGTGAATCATCAGGTGATTTTGATCTAAGGGATCTAAGAGGGAATTTTGTGGCATCCATGCAATATTCTCCAAGAGGTATGTGTTTTATATATTTAATTCAGTGTTGAAACGACCATTGAAGAGACTTGAATAAAGCAATAATATTTTGTTATGTAAATTTCTGTTGGAAATTGCAAAATATATTTTACTTTTTAGCAATACGTGCAGGTGAAATATGTAATGATTGTCAAATATTGTAAAATTTCATTAAGCAATAAATATTTTTAAACTATATGATTGTATGAAGTCTCTGTAAGTTGCAATAGATATTATCTTGTTGATGGATCTCTTGATACAGTACATTGCAAATTGTTTCATTAAAAGGTATGAGAGTTTTTCATGAAATTTTTGTAACTATTTAATCGTTGTTGAATATCTTGGCTGAAAATTGGTTTCTTATTAACAATGGAGACTGAAATGAAGTAGAATGTTTAGATTCAATACTGGCATTGAATATCATTGCCAAAGAAACAAGTGGTTTTTGTGAAACATGTGTAGTTAAACTGCTTCAGTGTTTTAGGAATATATAAGAAAGAACCATTTTGACAAGTCAGAAAACATTGAAAGCTGCATTCAATGTTTGCAAGATACTATCAAAGACATTTATTTATTTTTTTATTTCAAATTCTGATATTGTTAATTCTCAACTTCAATTCTGCATTTTATCTGCTTTCTTTTGAAGATTTCTCTTCATTTTATCTGGGCTATCTGAACTATTACTAAATCTTCAGAATGTGCTAATGTTTTGTACGACTTGTGTACAAATGATTATTATTCTGTTGATAATCTTGTGTGGATCAACTTTGTAATGCTATTTGAGTTGCTGAGAATGACTGTTAATTCTGCCCTTGAATTTTCTTGACAACACTTGATACTAAGCAGCATTAGATATTCCTTAATTGGATCTGTAGTAAGGTTTGGGGCTTCCTTAATTGCAGGGATTTTGCTTTTAGTAGGGCTGCCAGTTGTCCTCTTTGTAGGTCAGTTTATTTTGTCTAGGTCTTTTGTTTGACGAAGTCCTCTTTTTGAAAACTGAGTTTAAAATTAAATTTTATTTCAGAAAGAATATTATGTTAGCAATAAAATGAATTGTGAGAATTTCAGAAAATTGATGTGCCACCTAAAATGGTTAGAATGAAAGTAAAACTACACTCCAGAATTGGAGAGGATTACACAGAACGTTTTTGCAATACCATCCCATAATTAAAAGAAAATTAAATGCATATACAATAGACTAATAAGAAATAATGTCGAGCAGTCTGCCTGTCATGCTTGTTTGTTTAATGAAATTTTCGCCATTATTCATGTTGAGGTATCCATAATTGATTTGTAAACCACATTTGCTTAGGATAATAAGTTCTAATGAAAATCATGTGTTATGGAACTGGATAATTAACAAAATCTATTTTCTTCGGGAGTTGTGTGTTTAGCTCATTTTGCCTGATTAATTTCTTCTCACAATGTCTTGAGTTTTCTTGAAGCTGGAATAGGCAGCTGTAGCTTTCATGATGTTTTTATAATCTAAAAAATTACACTAAGCAATGGTATTGAAAAGTGCCAAATTTAAGAAATCTTATACCACAATATCTATAAACATTGCAACTTGTTAATTTCAGTTTTATTATTCCTGTATAGGATGTGTGATGTGCTATTACAGTATATTGTTCTATTAGATACCTCTGTACTAGGAATGCATAGTCATCCACTTGCAATATTATTCATAACTGAAGTCATAAGCAGAAATATGCGCCTTAAAGAATTTCTTCATTGATTTATGCACTAAATAGAAATCGGCCGTTTCCGGGCCTGATCGCCATACGGCCAGCGCCATATTGGACAAGAAGGGAATCCCGTCCTCAAAATTCCATATTTAACCGGCTAAAGGCGGTGCATTAGGTCTTCGAACATGGATCAACTAGAGTATGCCGAAACAACCAAAGGTCGAGTAGCTGTCGTATTATCTGGGTACATGTACAGGGTGAAAAACCGACATGGATCCACTATATACTGGCAGTGTATGGAAACGAAGTGCGGCGGCCGCCTTAGGACGAACAACGTGACAGGTCGTGTAATTACCAGTGGTTTTCACTATCACGAACCGCATACTGGCAAGGCTTTTGGAAGAAGAGTGTGGAAAAGGGAATTTTCATCTGCGTGCGGTGAGTTGTGAATTTTTCACCTGCCAGTTTAAGTATAAATTACAAATTACACACTTATTTTGATTTGGAAAAGTGCCGGTTGACGTTTAATTAATTAATTAATTAAAAAATGCTTTGCCCTTACTCGTGTGTTTGTTGCTAATTTTATTGTGCAGTGAAGGATGTCGGTGACAGCTGTCATGTTCATTGTATCGCCAGATTTGTGGTACAACATGCAATTTAGAATACATTAAACAATTTTACATATGATATCCAATCAGAGAAGATCCGCGAAGGCCGTTTTGTTTCCCTCTGAGTGACTCATCGAACTCTGAACCAACGGAGTCGTATGGACGGGCGACTCGCTTGTGAGCTGATTCATTTTTGTGTGACCTAGTAGATCATGGAGGGGACACTGCGAGTGCACCGCGCTAATCGGTCTGTGATATGGAAACATTTTACTGTGCTCGGAGGCACCAAGGTGCAGTGTGCGCATTGTTACGGAATGTTTAGTATGCATAGCCGCTCTAACCTCTTACGACACCTGCGCACATTACATCCGTTTGTGCAGGTAGAATCTGAGCCGGCCGGAAATTCGCTAAGAATAGAACGGAGGCATGATAGAAACATCGCAAGAAGCACAGGTAATCGGTGCCTTACTGTTGATACGGAATCGTGCATGTTCGATCTTTTGCAAGACTGCGAGATTTGTGACATCGCGTTAACTGGAATGTGGTACCAATTAGAAAAAGATTAAAACAATTACAAACTTATTTGCTTTGGAATGATGTGCACTTACCCGCAGATGTGAGAACTTGGAACCTGGAGATGAATGTTTTGACGACACGAGCGCAACGCGCTTCTCTTTATAGTTCACGGTGTTGATGCAAGGAGCGCACGTGTTGCGTTAAAAAAAATCAATGGCGGGCTCGGCGCTTCGTTCGCGTTTAGGAGGATATACTCTTAAAACATGAATTTTGAATTGGAAAATGATTACTAGGCGTCTTTTTATTATCCGGATCATAGTTGTTTTGTATATGATAGCGTGACATTACGATTTTGTTACCTATGTAAATGCAGGGGAGTGGCGTTGGCAAGAAAGGGATAGCCTCAGAAAATAATTCATACTGAAATTATCTCTGGCAATTGTTTAAGAAACTTTGGCTATTTCATTATCACATGGAAGTGCAAAAGCTTTTAATTAAGCAACAAACTCTGATGCCTAAGTTTCGAGTTCGTTCGCGGGAAAACATTTTCAATTTCGGAGAAAATTGATCAATATAGAATGGGCGCTTGCGTAGTAGTAGTATTAATCTTCAAAGTACAATAATACTTTCAGAATTTATTCACCTACTTTGTATTTTCGGCCCTCTTTGTTGCGCATACTCAGTGCGCTGTAAGAACAAGTTGTTGCTTGGGCTGCGCAAATACACCCACACATCAATTTGGTCATTGGCGCAGTGCGCAGTTGTACTTGCGCACATGGTGCGCCGGACGCTTTTCAGCGTCACCTTCAGTCAGTGCCTGATACTTCAAAGGTTTGAGTTGACGTCTGTTGTGTTCGATCAGATATGGATTTTCAAGTAATTCTTACTTCTCGGGGAATGCCATGCATCATTTACGATTCTTATAAATACAGGAAATTTCGTCAAACTGTAACAGGTGATATAATTTGGCGTTGCACCAAGAAATCTTGCCTAGGTGCCGTTCGAACGAACGTGGAACAAACTTCTATCCTGCACATTAAGGACGAACACAATCATCCTAGGTTAGATCCTTTAAAAATTCAAGAATTATTGTTATCTGTAGATAATGTTACTGAATACAAAGATATAGTGCACACAGCCTATCCTCCCAACTCGAAGAAATTGCAAGTTACTTGTGCCATTTCTGAAGGTAAGGCAGTACGGAAGCTTCGTTATGTTATTAATCACGAACTCAACACTTTCAGTATTTGGAATGTTTTGTAGTAACCATTTGCAGTACGAATTCACTTCACGTAGAAATTGTTTCGTTACAGATTTCACATTAGTATAGAAAAATTCTGAAATCTGAAGATACGATATTTGCAATGGCATTGTAAAGCATTGCGTGATCGTACTTCACGTATTATTTACCAAAGCAGTCACTGTTAATGTCATTTCTATTCGGAATCCTTTCTCCCCTCCTCTTTCTTCCCCTCCAGAGCCTTTCTTTCCCAACCCCACGACTTCTGCATCTCCCCTCTCTCCGCCCTCCCTTCGATCGTAATCCTTGGGAGTACTCATCTACCCGCCTGCTACCCGGCGTTGCAGTCAGTCTCCTTCGCCGCCGTTGTAGCCTCAGTTCGCGCTCTGTGCCGTGTGACGAGCTTGGCCGTCTCTTCAGTATCTACGTGAGCTAAAACCAGTCGACATGGTGTCCGATGTGTGGCAATACTGCACGAAACTCTCCGATACGCACGTGCGGTGTAATCAGTGTGGTCGTATTATGTCCTACCATGGCACAACCAATCTAAGAGTTCATATTGGTCGCCATTTTGGCTTGAAACCACAACGCAATAGACTTGGCCGCATCTACAAAGGAATTGTGAAACGTAAATATTACATTAAACAAGTATTGTCATTTTGCAAAAAACAAAAAAACGCAAACGTAGTGGTGTATAGTCTCAGCTCATCTTTTTTCGTGTGATGTTATTCTGGTACCCATCGCGCCTATCGATTTTCTGCTCGTTGGCCACGCCCCAGTGTGCAGCAGGCTTTTGCGACGTTGCCAATTTGCGTATTGTGTATTAGCCGTAATGTTTAGAATTTTTTAAATGAAGTAAATCAAGATGAAATTGTGTTTTTTCGTTTTTGATGTAATTAAATTGCTCTATGGCGCATTACCTTAATTTTTCTCCGAACAGGCCGTCGTGATTTCTCTTCCTTAAGAATCTTCATGATTTAGAAAAAAAAATTAATTGTATCTTCCTTAAAAAGAAATTTAGCTATTCAGTTACAAATTTCCATTCCAACAGTATTCCACGACAGACTTGCGTGTGCTGCACAGCTTGCGGGTAGGGAGAAGAACGTCCCGTATGACCTTTACGGTTACCGGTTTTGTTTTCCGGTTCGGCGACCGCGCAGCGCATGCGCATTTTGCTGCCTTTCGGTTCCCAGTTTTTCTGCTGAGTCAATTAGGTTGCTCTGACCAGTTCAGAGACCGTTGCAAGCGTTGGAATAACTTGAATAACGCCAGAATTTGTTGGGTCTTGGTTTTTGCAGTAGCGCTTCTGGTGACTTCATTAGGTTCCGGTTATTACTGTGCTCGTGCGTTTTGCTCGTATTACTTTTTGAAGAATGGGACGTGAAATGAAAAACCCTGTTAGGAGGTACTACTCCTATGATTGTGACAGAGATGTTTCTCAGTGTTGTATTGGGGGATGTAATAAGTTGATAAAGGTAAGAATAGGAGGGATGGCGGGTGTAAATCTTTAAAGGTGTAGGTACATGAATTATTGCAGTTTATTACCATTGTAGGGAAATCATGCTGCAAATTTGGAGAGACATGTATCCCGGTTACATCCGTATGAACATATGTCTCTCATGAAGATGAAACAACTGATTGCTGCTGAAGGAATTCCATATAATCTTGTATCTGGTATATAAATAAAATGCTGAATTTTTAAAAGTTAAATTAACTTTTACCTGACAAGATTTTCTTCTTAACTCAAATACTATGTATTGTATGTTTTCAACAATGTAGCTTGAACTACCATTGTGGTTTGCTATGATGGTTTTATGGACTGTAAGGTAGTGATTAATAGTTGCCTACATGTTAATGAGGTTCAATATTACCATTGCTCTTTGAGTTTTTGAAAGCCTTGCGCTGGTGTTAAAAAAAATTGAAATGTTTTCTTTTGATATGTTTCAGTTCCCCAGGCACCGCCTGCTACACAGAAACAATCTGCTCCTCCTCAACAACCCCCTCCATCGCAAAAGATGGTTCCTCCGCAACAAGTGTCAGCACCAAAACAAATAGCTCCAAAGCCTACTTCCACACCGGTTTCACCGTTGCAGCCCCTTCCACCTCCTCCTGAAGTGTGTCTGCGTTGGAACAGTTACCATTCAAACATGCAAGCAACATTTCCAAGTTTATTAAATAACGAACAGTTTGTGGATGTAACGTTGGCTTGTGAAGGTCGTAGCATTAAATGTCACAAGGTTAGAAAAAGTTTAGTTTTTTAGAAAACAATATGTTGAAATATACATTCAATATAAATGATTAATGATTTGCAATGTTGCTAGGCAAATAGATTACACTTGACATTGTTGTAGATGATGCTGTCAGCATGTAGTGCCTACTTTGAAGAACTGCTTAGTCAAAATCCATGTCAGCATCCTATAGTCCTGATGAAAGATTTAAAGTACTGGGAAGTACAGGCATTAGTTGATTTCATGTATCGTGGAGAGGTTAATGTGGCACAAGATAAATTGCCGTCATTGTTGGCTGCTGCTGAGGCATTGCAAATAAAAGGTCTGTAGATATGAAAATTGGTTCTGAAAATTGTATGAAATTGTTTTATTTCACTGAGAAATGATTTTTTGTTGGTGTTCAGGTTTAGCAGGTCCTGCATTTTCATCTCATGATGATGAAAACACTCAGAGTTCAGCACCACTAAGTTCTGCTGAAGATTATCTTGATGAATCTACTCCTTCACCATCAGGATCCCGGAGAGCAAGAAAGCGTAGAGTTATGAGTTCTACTCAGAGTCCACGAACCCAGGCAGTGCAGTCTCCTCAGGTAAGAACAAAATTTAAACTAATTTTTTTTTAACAGCACAACTTCTCAATATTTTTGAATTTGGTTATTATTTACCATGATATTTTTGCAAGTGTTGATTTGTTTGACAAAGGAATGATGGAAGTTATAAAAACGGAGTATTTTAAACAAATTGTTAAATTATTTAACACAACTTTAATCTTTGAAATTATTTATTGCGTGTAATGTAAGGATGGTTTTAGGTGTTTGTTCTTAGGATCTGAGGAAAATAGTGAGAAAACCATGATTGTGATATGGAGGTTCAAAATCCACAAACATTTTTGAAAGTGCAAAATAATAACAACAAGAAAACATTCATTTAAAGATTGTGTATAATTTTGATAATTTAGAAGGTAGTCTTGTTGCTTGTTTTGATCTGAAAATCATTGCTCTCACTGTAAAAACAGGAAAGAAATTCCTTATGGAAAGTATTGTCATTATATAATGGGTACTGGTTTAGTTTCGTTTTGAATTCTGTGGCTACACATTCAAGGTTGTGCAGGTTTATGATGTTCATTTAAATTCATTTAAATCTCCTCTGAAGTAATTTTATGTTAATTGAACTCCCAGAAGTTTTGAAAAGTCAAGCCTCTTTACCTTGTTAATGTACAATGTGCTATTCTCATAAAATGGAATTTGATGCTTACTGTTCTGCTTTCTCAAACAAAAATTACTTTGTGATTTATTCAGGTGAAGGGGAGGGGTTGTAATGCACAGTGAAAATGTTTCATCACACAACCAAAATCTGTCGTGGACATTATGGAACTATTTCTGTCACTACTTCTTACATGCTTTTGCTGTCACTTTTCCTTCTTACTCGCTAAAGAAAGTGAGGTAGGGGAAGTCAGCACTGGTATGTAGATTGTGGAAATGTCACGTTAATTGAAAACTTTTTTGGGTCCGGCAATTTCAAAATTAATGAGTAAATAAGCAGGACCTCCAGAAATAGAACTTCAAGGGGGCCATAGCCTATCAGCCCAGAAAATAATTTAAGAATTGACTCCAGACATGAAAGTATAAATAATATTGTGTAGAAGGTAAGAGTTAAGGGAGCAACTAATCAAAAACCATATTGTCCACTGCTGGGAAAAATTGTTTGATATGAAATTATGTAGGTTTTAATACATTCTACGTTGTTTCATATTTCAAAATGCATTTAATTTAATGTGTTAATCTGAAAGTAGAAACATGTAGAATGTATTAAAAAGTAGTTTTGTATTAAACTCCATTTTTTCCACCAGTAGAAAATGGGTTTTAATTAGCTGCTCCTCATACTTGAATAATTCAAATTCAGTTAATTTATATTCTTGTCGCTGCAGTAATAAAATACAGTCTATTCCAACTGTTGGAAACACTGGTCATCTGTGGCCTATTAAAATAGGAATTGGTTTTTAAACTAGGAGACAGAACTTCAAAAGTTTTGACTAATTTATTTGATACATAAACTTAAGTTACAATTTCACAAAATTTCCCAATTACCCAAAGTAGTTATTTATTGTAAAGTACATCTTTTTTGGTATATAGTGCTATAGCTTACTGTTAATAAGCCCTTCTTAGCCTGCCTAGTGGATTTCTATAAGACATACCACTTTATTAGGGTTATATTATGATTTTATATTTCATTGACCCCAGCCAGTACTCCTGCCAACTACAGGTGTTATGTATTCATTTAATTGTTGGTGTGCAACCTCTATTGAGTGTACAGTGGTGAGAGTATCAGTGGGTTCAGATTTTAAATTCAAATGTACTTCAATTGTAGCTCTCAGAGGAACTACTCTTATGAGTGATAGAGGATGCTTGATATGCTGGAAATCTGAAAGATAACATTATTGATGATTGTATTCTGTATTGATTAATCAATCAGATCAGAATATTGCTGTGACTGCTGAATGTGAATGATTCATAATAGAGAACAAATATTTCATATATTAATACACATGGTCAATTCCAATTTTTCATTCAGAAGACAACACAGAAGGATGAAATGTGATGCAATAAAATGTAATGATTTTAATGTCTTATTCAGATAAACAATTTGAGACAATAGAGAACAAGTTTAGATCAATTTCATGGAACTGAATGGCGAAAAAGTATTATTTTAACTTCGACTGCCCGTGTGATTACCTACTTTACGAAATGGGACATGAGTATTGCAGGGTTGAAAGTGCCAGATACCACAAATGTTATTTGATATATAGATGAATCTTAAAGTTCACTTTTGTCATTTACAGTATTTTGAGGTTTCAAGAATGTCAATAGAAACCAAATATTTTATGGGTAAAATTAGATCTCACATTTTCATTTCAAGTTTTTTCTTTACATTCATCACTATTTGTGTCATTTATTTTTAAACTTATTTCACTGAATATGTAATTCAATAACAGAACCAAACATTTTTAATAATGCCAAATCCAAAATGATTAGAGAAAATTTTTCTATTTTTAATTATATTTAGGAATAAGTTACAAACAGTTAGTAGTTTTGAAAGAGGGAAACTAAATATTCTTATCTTCTGATCTGACTGTTAACTTGTTGGTTCAATAATTTCAAACAATTACAGCTATGACTCGCACAACAGTCATGCGCGAGGTATAGCTTCTTGAGCTTCGCATATGGATAAATTTACTAAAGTAATTTTTGACTGGAACATTGTTGTGTACCAAAGAAATTGAGAAACCTTATTAAAGAAGCCATAACATCCAAATAGAAGTTTTTGCTGTAATGCTGTTGTAGGCTGCTTTAATCTCAAATTGCTTTAGAATGAGATTATTAAACTATTGTAATCTTAATTTCAATTTCATTTTTGTCCAGAAAGTAGATTCTATTGGTCTGTAGAATTCTATCCATTTGTAGACACTGTTATGTCTTAGAAGTATCTTTAGCATGCTTAATGTCAGTTTGTGGAACTTGCATGGCTCATGGTGACATTTCAACTTAGTCACATCTCAAGACATTATAAAATTATGCATAACTCGCACCACGCTCAAAGTTTAAACTGATAGGATCAATGCAATCCATGTTGTAAATATCACTCTGTGAACTCTCACTTATACAAGAGGCCTGTGCAGCAAAAATGCTCATAAACAAAACCACACAAGTCGATTTTCTCAATAGTATGCACACTGCTCAAGAACAACGAATTAAACACTGCTGTATATCACTGCAATAATTCAAATATTTAACAAAGACAGTCCTTACGAATACTGTAATATAGTGTACACACATATGCAGTGTAGTGTATGGACATGCAGTACAAGAGTTCTTTATATACTATGGATATCAAAGAAGTTGCTATTCCACATAGCATCTTGTAAATGGTACATGCTCAATGGTGCTCTAACCTTAGAGCCTTGCTATTTCAATGTCAGCTATGTCATTAGCAGTGATGCATTGACTGCTTATATATAAAGTATCGTTATGATTAAAGAAAACTGTTGAAAACTGGCATTTGTGGAAAATGACTAGTTTACTTAAAATTTTGTCCTATGAATAGAATAAAGATTTGAGTATTGTGCCTTAAAATTTAATAAATTTATTTATTTGCACACTTATCTGTAATAAATGTAGAAATGTTTTTGCATGTTAAGGTACCGGTCACTCCCACAAGAAGCACAACAGGAAAACGTACAGTCAAGCCATCTCTTTCCATGCCTTCTACTTCAAATTATCAGCATGAAAGTTCAAATCTACCATCAGAACCACCTGCAAGAAGGGCTCGGAAATCAGAATCTGGAGAATTGGTTAGAATATTTAAAATTTACGTTTGAATTTGTTCTATTAAATTTATTTTTACTTAACTTTTTTTTTTTCTTCTTCCCCTTTCAGGAAATTAAAATAGAACCAATTGATATTGAAATAAGCAATGACTCAATGGATCAGATGGATGACAGTTTCATGGAGAAGGTTTGTTAATTTACCTGTGGTCATATTTGCTTAAATGTGTGTGTTTAAATTTATTTTGAATGTTCTCTCTTCAGACTTTCGATGATGCAGAAGCAGGAGATGGGGGTGAGTCAAGTGGCCAGGGAGATGATCCCGGAGGAACAAATGAATCTAAGCCATCAATTTCTAGTGACACAAGAATGAATGTACACGGACAGGGTAAGTGATTTCCTTTTCCGTGAATGGATTTGCCTGTGATTAGTGGTAGAATTATTTTGGAAATTTTTCTTTCAAGTTGCATGAAATCTTGTAGATTTGTCTAAGGCAAATTGCCTTAGATCAGATCTAAAAACTATAGGTGGAATTCTTCATCCACAGATGCTCTTAAGTCTTGTGATTACACTCCATCCATAGATCTTGTAATTATTATGCTCTGAAACAGAAATTTAGTACCAAACCCTTTCCTATTTTAAAATTTGTACATGGATTTGTTGACAGTACTAATTAATTTTCTATAATTGTCTGGCAGGGAAGACTTATGATGTAACTTACATTTGAATATCTTTCAGATGCAGAGCAAATGGACTTTGGGAACAATAGTGGCACATCTCGAAATGATCAAAATTTTCGATATGAAGATAGTGGTTCACAAGATGGCATGTCTGCAGTTCCTGAACTACCGGGTACTTCTTACCAAGAATCTCTCTCACAGCCTAGTAGTTCAGGAATAAACAGTTCAGATAATTTGTTAGGACGCATGTAGTGACCCAGATTTATCAAGAAGCCGACTTCCATTTCCTGACAACTTCTGTGAAACTACTGCTGCCTTCTACAATCCACACTCACAAAATTTGGTACAAGGTTATTTGTGAAGACCACGAAAATACATTTATTTTTAAGGCATTATTTTTACTTGATATCTGTACATGATCAGATATTGCTGACTCTTTTTCTTTCTTTCTTTTTTTTTTTTTTTTTTCCCTGATATGTGATTTCTGGAGTTGTGATACTGAAAGAAACATCTGTTTTAATGTTGATCCTATTTGTTATTTATTACTAGTGTTTATTTTCTTTAATAAATTATTCTTCATTTTTGCGATTGTAAGACAATGAATCTATTTTGCCATTGCTTCCTCGTTTTGTCATAAAACATAACATCTTAGTTAATGCCTAAGTGTTTTGATAACTAGATTTTTGATAAGTCTTTTTGTGTTATTCTCAATTATCTGAGGATGTAGATTCAAAAGGGATATTAATTTCTAAATTTAAATGAAGAGTTGAAAGGCATATTTTGTGCATCAAATACATTTTTAACAGAGACATAGTGCTTTGATGAGAATGAATTAGATTGAATATTTGATTTAAAACATCATAAAAAAATAATGAAAATTAGAAATCATAATATTAATATTTTGATTTTCTTAAAGTGACTGAAATTTTCTGTTCATCCTATTACATTTTAATTCATTGCAGTAAACTGGGAAAACAGATTTTCCAGAACTTGATGAATAACTGTGTATAATTATATATGCAACATTTCATGGTGTGGTCATAGGGAAACAACAAATTACTGTACTTTTCTGAAGAGGACCAGAGTTATTTTCCTTTGCACCAAAATCAAATATGCTAATCGTTTAAGTTAGCTGTAGAAATAATCAGTAACTTAAATGTAGTGTTACTTGTTCTGTAAAAGTACTATATTTAAATGCTTTGTCCTATTGTATTTCTGAGTATGAGCCATTATATTCTTTGTGATTGTGACTTTTTGTGTGCTGTAGATTTGATGTGCATGTTGCTTTGGAAGAGAGCTAACAAGATGTTTGGTTTGAGATATTTCTGAATTAAGCAGTTCGTGTTTGTAATGAGAATTATCCAACAGGTGTTTCTGAGAAGGGTGTACAAAAGATCTTTCACTGCGATGGAAAGGAAATGGTTGCTTTGCTGATACATACATTGTTATGTAATTAAACATTTGATGTGTGAAATGCATGGAATCAATATTCCAGAAATGCATAAATATTTGATTAGCATGTAATTATTGCTAATCTACAGCTAAATCATGACAAGGAGGAATTTTGAACAATCTCTGCAATCCGAAGGAATAGGAAGGGTTTTCCTACCTTGTATAAGTGTTGTACAAAGCATGCCAACGTTGAGTGAATGAATCAGTGCATTTATTCATATGAAAGTTTTATCATTAGTATTCAAATGCTTCTAAAACTTCAATTTTTTTCTCCTCGAGTCTAGAATACTTGTTTTTTGTTTATCTAGACTTTTTGTGGCATCCTTTCTGTAGGAGTTTAGTTGCAAATGGACTGTCTCACATTTTAGTCAGAATTAAGTGGATAATACTTGGTATTCCTGCAACATATCCCCTTGTCTAAATTGTGCTTAATTGTACCAGTGAGCAAGGTACACAACTGGTTGAGTTAATTTCATTAGTGTAATATTTGGCCATTAGTTCTTTCTGAATTTGAATTTAAATGGATAAGCATGGTTTTCATGAGAAATATTTAGAAAGTTATTCAGGATAGTGAAGCATTCTAGAAAATGGACGATAAAATGTTTGATAACATTGCTGATTTCATTCTGACATTGCCAATATTATATTGGTATGTCCCTAACCTTAGTATAGGCCTTTCATGAATTGAAACCATTGGTCTAGGCAAATGCAGTTATTTTCTAATGCTGATTCTCTGCTAAAGCAACAGGCTGGGTGGAGGATTTGCTTCAAAGATATGTAGATTATCACAGTAGTGCTGTGAAAAAAATTACCTGAATGTGCCTAGTCATTTCTTAATGAAGTATATAAGGTTTGCAGAAGTTTTGCCATAGGAAATATTTTCATGCAGACTTTTCTACTCAACCATTTGAATCCAAATTTAAGAGTAAATCTTTTCTCAAGAAATGGTACATTAATGAGCACTAATTTTTAATGGATGCTTGGGTGCATTTTGTTTACCATGTTCAGGTAGAGAAGAGGGTGAAGTAAGATAATTTATTTTTGAATGGTCTTCCAATTGAGAAATGTTAATGTCCTCGTTTAAAAAATTGATATAAATTAATATTGCTGTAAACTTTGTTCTGCACTGGATCTGTAAAAGGACTATAATACTTATATTGCAGTACAGCGACAGCTGTCACTCTTTTTGAAAAAGGAAACTTTTTGTTTTAATAGAAATTTTACCTGATATGGTGAAATCTTCATAATGAACTCCAGCTTAATGATTATTCCAGTTTTGATATTTTCCATAAGGAATATGCAAAGCAATGTCGCTTACAAAATTTGAACTTTGAGTATAACTGTAAAATTTAGTGGTTCTTTAAATTCAAATTTATTATTTTCTCCTTAGTGCTCTGAGGTTGATGGTTGGCAGGGAGCACTGAGCTTACAAACTAGCAATGTACTCTACTAATTTGGATCTAAGACTTTTTAACAACCTACAATAAGTCTCAAATTGATTTTTAAATCTAGTTTGAAAAATGAAAATTAAATATTTGCTGAAAAGTGAAGCAAAAACTAAGAACCTTCTAAAAACTGAAGCAAGAGATTGATCCCATTTTGAAGTGCTAATAAACACATCCTCTTATTATTTTGTAGAACTTTTGATCTTTTAAGAAAGGATGCTGCAGAATATAATATTCATGAAGATCAAAGATAATTCATGAAGTAAGAATGATGCTTGCTACTTACACAAGTGTTACCAATTTTATTTATTATAATTATTGGTATGTTTTCATGGGGGTTTTTGAAATTTCAGATTTGGCATTCCTGAAGTAATACCATTCTCCCTCTTACTGTATTTCCATTTCCCATCATACGTAATGTTATTTTAGTGTTTTCTGATTTAATTTTTTGCAGGAAATGTGAGAAGTTGGAACTTGGTAATAATGATATATTGTCCTAAGTATTAAATTTCTGTTGTAGATCAAAAATCTTGATCTCTCTCTCACCTACACAAATCTAATTAGTATTTTCATTGTAAAAAAATGATTGTGTATTCAGTGACCTGATTTTGGAAAGTTGTTTTCTAACCAAAAAATGACTATTGTGACATAAACTAGTCTTGTCTGTTCGGACGTGTGGCAACTATTGTAGTGGCATGTGTTCCTGTGGAAGTGAATATAGAATTGCAACTTCTGGAAACCTGGTATCGTGGGGGAAATGCCTATTTATTTTCACTTGCAAGTAATTGGTGTTGCTTCTGAGTGATCGGTTGCCCTTTACCATGCTTTTTAATAGGCTTAGTTGCACAAAAATGCAGCTATTTTTGTCGATATGCAAGTGATGTGCTCAAAAAATTCAAGCTTAAGATTAGTTAGTGGTTTGTACATTGAGGAATGTCGGGTGCATACTTTACAGAAAGTATATTTGATGATATCTTGTTTTGATACATCACTTGCTGCTAATTAAATACAATTTAGTTTGTAGAAATCAAACTGTGTAACATTAAGTTGCAATCATTGAAGGACTGAATAAGTATTCAAGAAATATAAATACTGTGCACGTTTATCAGTTGTGCTTCAGCTGTTTGGTACATTAGGAGGTAGCAGATATACTGATTACCTGATACCTATTGGTACCATCTGTATGATTTTAGCTTGTGTATGAATGTGAGTGTATGTATAATTTATAACTAAATTGAGTAAAATGTTTACATCCACTAGGTGGATGTGTATTCTTTTAAAATAGTTTGTTTTTGTCTTTTATACAGTTTATGATTTGTAATATGCAATAGACTGACAGATTTTGAAATTCCAAAGTTTATTGTGGAAATATCTTCCATTATTTCTGACTACATTAGAAGAAATTTCAAGAATTTGATTTTTCTAAAAAGTCCAAAGGTAGTTTAAAATAGAAATAGTATGTTGTGTTAGATTTGGACATGTACCTTTTTTATTGTAGATAATAAAAATTTGTTCTTTGTATGTTGATTTTTATTTTTGAAAATGCAATTTTAATATCAGACAAATGCACAATCTTTATCTTCAAAATTGTAATGACTTGCAATATCGTGTATGCAATTAAGTATGATATCTTCAATAAAATGATTGTAAAGGAGAAGAGAGATGTCGATGGCAAGAATACCAATTCCACATTCAAGATACAGAAAATTTCAAATTGACCATATTTTTAGACTATCTCTGTGCCAATTTTGTATGTTGAAGTAATTGCTTTTGACCCTTGAAGTATAAATGTGACGTAATGCTGCAAAAAAATCAAAACATTGATAGTTAGTTTTTATGGAAATGCATTGGAACTTTTATGATTGGGCATGTTTGTTTTGAAAAATGTAAACAAGATTATGTATTGGACGTTTTTTTTCACCAAAAATAATATTCATTAATTGACATGGTAAGTGATGTGGCAGATGAAATTGTTCTAATAACTTCCAGAGGTACTTGACAAAAGGCATTGTATTTTTGAATTAATCTCAAGAATGGCTCCAATTTTTTGTTCAAATGGAACAAATTGTGTAGGTCTTATTTTTTATTCAAAACTTAGAGGAAATTTTGATAACTGCAAAGGTTTGTAATTTTTGGGACACCCTAACTACATTATTGCAGAAATAATTTTGAACTTCATGGATTTATGTTCTTCAAAATAATATCCTTAAATAATGAATAATTTTTTGAAAGAATAAGCAGTATTTGTGTAACTTGAAGTAATCTTGGCATTTAAAACTGTACCTAAAATCCATTTTCTTAAAATAGGGTCCTAAATTTCTGTTACATCAACTATTTCAACAAAATTTTAATTTTCTTAATTGAATATACATACTACATATATACTTAATATATGGAAAGTTATGTAGTGCTACGAGAAGCGATTTCGAGATTTCAATGGATGTACATGTTTGGGGTCCCCTGATACCGTAAAAGAGGTTTTTATAAAACGTCTGGCCGTATGGTGCATGTGAACAACACTAGTGCCTAAACTTTCTGTAGGATTTTTTCCAAATTGAAGAAACCCCTGACCGTTTGGTCAGGGGATCTGCGATTTCGGAAATTATTCATTAGTTTTTTAGGGCACTGTAAAAGAAGTCCGCGGACATTTTCAAAAATGGGTCAAAATGTTTTCCTTTAAATTTTTTCTAAGATAATAAAATACATTAATGAAGGGTGGAATAGGTCCGATTTTCGGGGTTAACAGAATTTTTTTTCGAGATCTTCATACAACTACAAAATTATTGAGATTTTTCCTTGAAATGCAATTTGTTCTTTCATTAAGGTCAGGTACATTTTTTGAAAATTTTAGTCGTTTTCGCCCAGTATTGCGTGTAGTTTTTACAAAAATACAAAAACAATTTTCCTCAAAAATGGCTCCAATTTGTTTACTATCTAAATACGAGGGTGAATTGAAAAGTCCGTGACTTTTTAAAGATGAAAATATATATGTTTTACAAAATTCAACTTTATTTCTCAACTTTTAACTCAATACACCTTCCCAACGTTTTTCTATTTTTTTAAGCCTTCTAAAAATTGACTTCAAAGTGCAAGATGTTGGTTTGCTGCTTCCATGATGTCTTCAGCGGACATGAATTTCTTCCCACCGAGCCATTTCTTCAGATTTCCTTGAAGAAAGAAGTCACTTGGAGCCAAATCTGGGGAATAGGGTGGGTGAGGTAAAAGTTCGTAGCGCAGTTCCGCAAATTTTGCCATGGCAACAGCAGACTTGTGCGCGAGCGCATTTTTTGGTGAAAGAATATCTTTTTGTTCGCCAGATGTGGTCGTTTCTTCAACAATTCCTTGCGAAAACGATCCAGTAATGCGGCGTAATATAAACTGGTTATTGTTTTGTTCTTTTCCAGGCAGTCAATTAATACACCTTGCGAATCCCAAAAAACAGTCGCCATGACCTTTCCTGCCGGCGGAACTGTTTTCGCCTTCTTTGGAGCTCGTTCGTGGGTGCTTGGATTGTTGAAAATAAATGAATCCACGGGTTGAAAATAATTGACCACGTTTCATCAACTGTTACATAACGCTTCAAAAACTCATTTGGATTACGCTTGAACATGTGAAATGGTCACACGACTTCACTTGTCAATCGTGAGCAGTCGCGGCACCCATCTTGCCGACAGCTTTCTCATATCCAAATATTCGTGTAGAATGTAGCTCACTCGTTCATTCGAAATGTTTACAATCTCAACTATCTCCCTTTAATTCGGCAGTCTTCCATCACAATATCGTGATATCTGTTCACCATTTCGTCTTTTGTGACCTCAACCGGCCGTCCTGGCCGCTCTGCGTGACGGAGCAGTGTCCCAATAAATCTTTCTCAACTTCTCTTCCGTTTCCTTTCAAGTTTTCCCACGCAAAAAGTGGTGCTTGATCAACCCTCGAAATTCACTTTTCTCCATTTTCACAAAGCAACTTACACCTTCTGCTTTCGGACCCTCTCAACAATGATCTAACGAGCAGATGGCAACAATATTATGCAAAGTTTCCTAAAATTGATGTAACACTTCAGTGCCAACAAAAAACCTGCTAAGTGGACGCGAACTACTGTTAAAGTCACGGACATATCGATCTGCTTCCGTATACTCCTTTCAAAATATTAATGATTTTCCTCAATTAATTTTGAGTTATATCTTTGATTTTTAAGAGAAGACTTACTGTTAGTATGTTAAGATCAATGTGAGGTAAACTAACATTTACCTATAATAAATATTTGGTATGGTAATAGCTCCACTTGTTTTCTACATATAACTAGTGGCACTACATAATGACACAGACTATTGGTTTTCTGTTTCGTTTGGTCTCGGCTACCCAATTTTCTTTGAAAAATTTGGAGCTGTTTTTAAGAAAAGGCGTTTAAGTGCCCCTGTAAATGCGAAATTTGAACCTCTTTTCACAGAAAACTAATGAGCTTCCGTAAACTTCATATTGCCTAATGTCATTTCAAGCACTTCCAGCCACAAATGCAATAGTGATCACAAATTACTGGAAACGTGCATATTAAATGCGTGAGAGATGTTTAAAAAAATACAATGATGTAATTTTTGAAAAACAAAAGAATACTGCTAAATTAATTCTATGCCATCTTTATTATTTAAAACACGTACTCATAACACATGTTCACATAAGTTAATGTGAACAAATTGCTGTTAATGTAAATACTAACAACGTGAGATACAAGTTAGAAAACACGTTTTTGTAATTTTTGAAGAAACGAAAGAATAGAACAATATTGCATTTATGTCATCGTATAGAGGGCTTTTAGTACTACCCTACCAACAATTTAAAAAAAATTAAAATCTAGGTTTTTTAATTTTTTTAAATCGCACATATTGCTCGTAATATTATGCAAAACCCACTAAAATTTTCAAAAAATGATCTAAATGAAATAACTCACTATGGAGAATAAATTTAATTTGAAGGAAAATCCCTATCTTTAATTTTATAATTTTATACGAAAAGACCTAAAAAAAAATTCCAACTTGTGCACTTTTCAAAAATTCAGAGTTAACCGTGAAAATCGGACCTTCGCCACCTTTTTAAGTGTATTTTATTTTATTTTTATAAGCAATTTAATGAAAAAAAATGGAGCCGGTTTTTAGAAAATTTTGAAAATGTCTTAGGGGCTTCGTGTAAAGTACCCCCGATTTTTCAAAATCGCGACGCCACGAGTGGAGCCAAATTGACCGGGGAATATCAGTTTTGGAAAAAATCGTATGTATGGTTGAAGTGCTAGTGGTGTTCACAGACTGATCGACAGACGGACAGACTTTTTGTCGTCAATTGATTTTTGGGTATCAATGACCCACAAATCAGGTATTCTGACTACACCACGTGTTAGAAGACTTATTCCTTAATTTAGCAACTGGATTTATCCACTTTTGCGTTATAAGGGCCGGACAATTAATTTTTTTCTGACGAAAATCCGCGAAATGTTTTTCAAATTTGTAATTTGACATTCGGGGACCCCTATTATTTATTATTTCATTTAAAGTTGGACAGACCCAAAACTGAAGCGTCTGTGTCCTTGTGGGTGGTCCAGAAGAAATGATTCCCCTTTGGAAATTCGGATCAGATACACTTTGCAAACTTTATCAAAAACAATTTTTAAAAGCAAAAATGTATCTGAGCGAGCAAATGCGTGCAACCTGAGAAAAGAAATGGAGATGTTCGAATTTGTATTCCAAGTGGTATTGCATTCAAAAATTTTGATCGTGACTAATGATGTGCCACATAATCTGCAAATATCTGATTTAGTTATTTGCCAAGCACGGGATTTTATTGAAGCAGCTCCCAATACTCTACAAGATTTTAGTTGTGACTTTGACAAAGTCAAAACTGACGCAATGAACATAGTCGCATCTTAGGACAAATAATCCGAGTTTAGCGAGAAACTTTAAAAAAACGAAACGCCATTTCGATGAACTGTGCGAAGTTAAACGTTTATCTGACGGTGAAAAACGATTCAAAGGTACCAATGTTTACTTCACTTGTTTAGATATCCTGATTAGTCAGCTGAACCATCGATATTTGCTTGAATCAAATAATCAATTCGTTTGCGATCTTTCAACTGCAAACTAGGTTGCAGTTTGCAGATGAACTCGTAAAACAAATGCGGAAAACAATGCGAAAAAATACTATGTAACTGTCAGGGTAACTGATCAACTGTTCACACTGCTGTGTGAACTGGCCTAAGAGATCGAATTTCGAAGATTCATTCAATGAGAGACTTGGCTAACTTGGCCCTTGATTATATACTTCATTCTTTCAGCAAGCTTTCCAGACGCCTGCTTAGTAATCTTGATGTTTCTAATGATTCCTGTGATGTATTCTTCATGTCTTCCGGGCTGATGGGCCGTGGCTGACTGTCAGTCGCCAGTCAGCCACCGGCCCGGACACTTCGCCCGAGACCTCGCCACTGAAGATGCCCACCGCAGTCGTGGGCGAAACGTTTGGCATCTCAGAGCCAATTGGACCACGGCCCATCAGCCCGGAAGACATGAAGAATATTGACTCCGGCCGTGAAAGCCTACAACGCTGTATTCCTGTGATGGTTTCGACTGCGGAGCGATCTTTTCCAAAATTGAAAATAATCAGAAAGTATCTGCGAAATTCGATGTGACAGAAGAGGCTGGCAGACCTTAGGATATTGTCCATTGAAAGTAAAGAGGCGAAATTGTTAAAAGCGAATCTGGGCGACGTTATAGATAAGTTTGTGTCAAAGCGAAAGTCCTCAGGGTTCGATTCTGAATTTTGTGATTGAATGATTAATACAGTTCCTTTCAAATAGTTTTAAGAATGCGTTTTTTAGTTGAACAAAATGTTTTGAGGGGGGTCAATTAAGTTCTGGGGCCAGAGCCCCGGAAAAGCTAGTAACGCCACGGAGTAGAACATTTTCGCTCTTCACTTCTTTAGGCCACAACAGATTCATTGCTGATGCAAAGTAACGGCAATTGTTGAGGGGTTAGTTCTGTCCAATGTTTCACAGGAAATGAGAAATTTATCTCCTTCTTGGTCTCCCCTTAAAACAATAACAATAACGTTCGAATTAGATGTATACAATTTCTTTGAGACGTCTGCACGCAAGTTTTCGAAAATGAAATCAAAATTATACAAATGTGAATAAAAAAACAACCGAAAATTCATAGAAAAATATGGCTATAATATTAAATATAAATGAAAAATGTTAAAAGGGTTCAAAAACAGAATATGACTGTATATGACACGCACTTGCGTGATTTTAGTTCTTGCAGATAAAATAACACTTAACTTATATTTTCCATGGAAATAACACAAAGAGCAAAAAAATGACATGTAATAAACATTTGGGCTTTAGTTATGACTCATGATTTTAGCCACGATACTGTTTAATTTCTAAGAAAATAACATTTGAGAGCAAAACATAATCGAAAGATGATTTATTAATAAAGGATATTCAGAGTAACGCTAAACATTATCCCAGGCATTTTACAATACTGAACTAAAGTTCACCAATTTATTAATGTATGTTATTAGCTTACCTTAATAAAATTACGGGTGTTATGGAATCGAAAGAGTTGGCTGAGCAGAAGAAGCAAGGGGGTGGAATGGAAGGAAAAGGAACGATAAGAAGGAAAGGACTGAAAAGAATCGCGAGGAGAAACGGAAATGGACCTGAAGAAGTGAATACAGCGAAAGGAGAGGGCAAAACGGAAAGAACGGCTGGTGTAGAATAGGAGTGAGTGAGACAGTGGTGGCAAACGGGCGGACTGGAAAGAAGAAGAGCGATAGGCGCGGAAGGAAAGCGCAGAACAGATTAATCGGGCGGAAAAAAGGAGTGATGGACCTGAAGAAGAGAGATACGGAGAGAAAGAGTATGAGTGACGGGGAGAGAGAGGCAGAGGGAGGGAGAAAGAGGTAGAGAGGAGAAAAGAGGGCAGAGAGAGGGAGAAACCAGGAGGGAGATAGAAATAGAGGAGAGAGAGGGCGATGAAGGGAGAAAGAGGGAGAGAGGGGGATAGGAAAGAAAGAGACTGATAGAGGTAGGGGGAGGGGAGAAAGAGACGGGGAAGGAGTGATAGAGGTGGAAGAGCGAGAAAGATGAGAGAAAGGGGGGAGAGGAAGAAAGCAGGAGAGAGCGGAAAAGAGCCAAAGAGGGTGCGAGGGCGGAACGAGGGAGAGGAATGTAGAGGGAGAGAAAGGGAAAGAGAGAGGGAGAGAGAGATATGAAGAGAAAGGATGAGAGAAGGGGAGAGAGGCAGAGGAGGTAGAGGTAAACAGGGAAAGTGGGAGATGGAGGAGAGCAGGACAGAGAAAGTGAGGGGGAGAGGCGAGAAGTGACGGGGAGAGAGGAAGGATAGAGTGATGTGAGGGGCTGAGAGAGGGAGAAAGCGGGGGGGGGACGAGAAAGAGAGGAGAGCGTGGGTGAGGGGAAGAGAACGAACTTGAGAATGTGTATGAGAGAGTGAGTGAGAGGTGAGAGTGGTAAAGAGAGGGAGAAAGAGAGGGGGGAGAGAGAAAGGGAGGGAGGAGGAGAAAGCGTAAAAGAATGAGAGAGCAAAAATGAGTGAGTGAAAGAGAGCGAAACAGCGGGAGAAAGAGAGCGAGAGGGAGAAAGAGAGGGGAGAGGGAGCGAGAGAAAGAGGGAGGGAGAGCGAGAAAAAGAGTGATAGAGGCTGAGAGAGAGGGAGCGAGATGGGAGAAAGAGGGGAGAGAACGTGAGGGGAAGATGGGGAGAGAGAGAAAGAAGGAGAGAGGGGTAGTGGGAGAGGGAGTGAGAGGGGAAGAAAGGGGGACAGAGAGACAGATACACTCAAACAGATTCCATTTCAATGTATTGTTTTCATCACAATGTCATTTCTACATACATTTATCATTATTTCAACTTTATTTCTATACTTCGTTATGGCTCGACATTGCATTTTTCAAACATTCGCTTCCGACGATCAGAAAACGGAACATCCCACGTCCGACTACAATAATTCCGTGTTCTTACTGTTCGTGTATTCACTAAAACATTTACCGATACCTTCGTCTGTCTCCTACTATAGATTATTTCTCATTTTTCGTCTCTTTTAATAGTTAACGTATTGTCACTTATCTTGACCATTAATTAAAATGTGTTGACTTTGTTTTATCTTTTTTTAACAGTTTTTATTCCCTATAATCCATTTAAAAGTATATCTTACATGACGAGCCTTTCGACTTATTGCCTTCTATTCTTTCCTAAAGTTTTTTCGAATATATTGCCAAAAATTGAATAATTACGCCAATGTTTATTTATTTGTTTACGTCCGGTCTATATGTTATTCATCATATTTCCTCAGACCTGGGTCTAGTTAAATAAACAGTGTTTCTTGACTTGTTCATCATTTCCAATGCCGCTTTCGGTATTATTATTTACAAATTCTAAATTAATGCTTTTGACGATTTTGAATGGGTCGCAACACATCCTTTTCTAATTTCAACGCTCTAAAAGCGCCGAAAGGAAATTTTAACCGGGGACGCTTATCCAGACACTCACTTGAGCCGAACTGTCAACGAAAGTCCACGGACTGCCCATGGATCGAATTGCAGAGACCTACGACGCCTTCGTCAGGTCTTCGCAACAGCACTGCCCTCTCCCACACGGTCTGACGTCTGAAGTAATGCATCCAAGAAATGGGATGTTTCTCTTGTGATATGAAATATGCCACTATTGTATTAATCCTTCTGTTTTCACACTTATTTCTAAGTAGCATTCGATAGTAACACAAGGTTTACAACTTGTTTAACAATTTATAACAATAACTCATTTTTAATATTTTTTCTTGAAAAAAGAATTTCAATGAACATCGAAGAGTAGAGGAGGGAACAACTGTCCCTATGTAGTTTTCGCGGAAGTGATAATAATTCTAGCTTGCTTACTGCTGTGTTTGCTAGAGAAGAATGTGGAAGTGAATCGAAGTTAATGGTAAGGATGGAACAGTCAGATGTGGTCAGATAAAACGGATAAAACGCATGCGCAAGGATGGTGTTTGTAGTTAAAGGTTTCACCGCTAGATGTAGATCTGACAAGCGGCGAAGTCCCGCTGAGTACGTCTGGTTGTCAATTCTGGATGTTTTGTTGTTGACTTCGACAAGGTGTTTCTCGCATACTCCTTATATGCGTATATTATTTTCTTTGTGTTATCTTGTGCTTAAAAACATGAAATTCTGGTGCTCAGGTTTGTCTAAGTTGTGGAATTTTGTGTAAAAAGTATTTAATTATTCTGGTGTACCTAACCAAAGTTTTTGACGGGAGTAACTCGATCCGGCAAATTGTTCTTTCTTGTTGGTGACTGTGCCCGATTGTGTAGAATATTGTTCCAAGAGAAGAACGAAGCCACAAAATGAGCCGTGCATCATTCGCAGATCAACAAAATTTAGTGAAGGAATCTTTATTCAAGTTTTTAAGGAAACACATCCCCAGTGCACAGTTGAGGTAAGTGTCAGTGATGCGAAAAGTTTGAAATTTATGTTGCATTTTGAGGATTTTTAATAATGGATTACCCCCGAAATATTGATTTCAATTTCATTTCAGTTCAATTGATGAGATAGTTCTGAGTTATGTTGTGAGTATATTAGAGGATTTGGGAACAGAAGAAAGTGTGGAAGATGCATTTGATGTTGAAGGATTTTGTGAAATGATGGCAGCATACTTTCCTGAGTTTTCAGTTATTCATCACGGGGCTGTATGCCAATGGATGTTCGAACTAGCAGCTACATTAAGTCAGAAAAAAAGTAAAGGTAATATATGATTTCATTCGAAGTAATTAAAATTTGTTTACAATTATTGATCTAAAACTTAATTTAAAAAGTAATTTGCTTACTTAAATGTTACCTTTTGTTTTTGTAGAAGGAAATGGAGAGTTGAGTGGTAAAGACATATCTGAATTGACAATGCTTCCTGCCACGGCTCTTACTCGTCATTCTCGCAGTAATTCGGAGTCCAATAATGATGTATCGACAAAGAGAGTTCATCAGTTATCAGAAACAAGTGATGGAAGTTCTGATGGTAGTGGAGAATATTTATCAGGACAGGAGGTATGTGCATTTGAATTTTGTGTGTCAGATTTCCAAGAGATTCTGTTTTTTGTTCAGAATTGTTTTTCAGGGTGGTCACTTTGCAAATAATAGGGGAAATATCAGAGATTTTTTCAAAAAATTGTAAAACTAGACATTATTCTTCAAATTACATTGATACATCATCATTCTTAGCATAAGTTTTAATTATTAAGAATTATTGTTAATTTTGTCTTTTCAACTGAGAAATTGGAGAAATGATAGATAAGTAATAAAGAGTTACTGAGTAGTTTGAATCATAGTGTCTGTGTCTTTCTCATGTGTTTATGCAAGAGAATTTGAAATACCATGAAGAATAGGGCACCACTGAAAATGGCAGGGTGAATGATTTTTGGAAAAACAAAGGGAAACCTGAAAGATGTAGTACTATGGAATTGCAGGAAAAGTACAGGGAAAACACTCAATAATAGCTTGTTAAAAAATATACATTGGACTTCAGCTTGTAGTTGGTAAAAAGAAAGGATTATTAGTTAATGTTGTCAAGAAGTAGTTAGTGAAAGAGTGGTGTTAGTTTTAAAAGGCTTTGTTTAGTTATACCCATTATCCATAACGTAGAGATGCTGGGTTATGAGTTGGCTGTAGTGATTCCATAATTTGCTTTAGTGTTACATTATAGGCAAATATAAAACTTCTATTTGGGGGTTCTGTAAATTTAAAATTATTTTTTAAATTATAACATTTGTGAATCTTTTTTTAATACCATACTATTGAGTTAGAGAAAACTCAAAACACAAGGACAAAAAAAAGGTGTTGGAAAAATGGGGAAATGAAAGGGAAATTTCTCCAAGGAAAAGAGCGGACACCGGTGTCGCACCGTAAGGGCCTGCAATGCAGGTGGGCCCAAGTAAAAGAGGGCCTACTTTTAGAATGAGGGTTTTGCGATTGTAAGAAATAATAATTACTTTGTACATTCTCTGATACTTTGCGATAGTTGGCACAATAAAATATTAAAAGCATCATCTTACAGAAGAACAATATGTTTGTTTCGGTAGGTAATGTAAATCTGTTTCTGAATCAAGAAAGGTAAGTAATTCATTTGGGTTTTATAACAGTCTTAATTTTATAAAGTTAAATAATAATAAAGGCAGATTTTTCCACTATTGGTAATTAATCATAGACTAATGAATTCAAATTTGTCAAAGGAGTTAAGGTACTTATACTACTTATTTGCTATACACTATAAAAGGGGACTGGATAAGAGTTATGCAGGTGGACCTGCACTCATTTTGTTATCCTACTGCTGGATGTCTATTTTTCATTCAACTTTAATTGGCAATTTCTTGCAAATTTTTTAAATAAAAAAAATATTGTTCCCAGAATAAATATACTGCTAGTCAGATTATTCTGTTGGAATTATTTTTTAAAAGTTTAATTTGAATTAAATTTATTCATTATTAGTATTTTTTTCAATTTTTGCATAGGATTCCTATGTGACGGATCAAGTAAGACTGCTTCAGGAAATGTTTCCGGGTGCCTGCAGCATTGAAGTGCGGCATTGCCTTACAATAGCTGAAGGTGACATGGCTCGAGCTGCACAGTTGGTTTTACACAGGCAAGAGGCTGGGCAGAGCCTTACTTCAAATATGGCAGCTTTGAATGTAAGCAATTGCAATTTGAATTTGCAGTTTACTCATTCTCTTATTATGTCTCTTGAAAAATTGCCTAATTGTTTCGAGATTTTTACTTACTTTGTGAAGTTGATGTTTCTGTGAAGAGTCTGGTTCCATGTTTATTTTGTCGTTGATCATAATAATGTCTGAAGAACTGGTGACTTGTAACAGCCAGAGCTGCTCAAGTATTGACTGATGTTAAAAATTCTTCTAAAACTGTCATTTTAAAGAAATGTAATGAAAAAGAATGTAACCTATTTTTACTATATCTGCAGTGAACATCAAATTAAAAAGCATTGATTAGAGCCAGATCAATGCTTTAGTTATTTGTTGGGAATGTGAATAATATTATCAACATGAATATTGATCTGAAATGTTCCATATCTGACTATTTTATTACTTAGAAATTACTTGTTTCTTTGACATTAGAACATTTATGTGTAAAGTAAAAATTATAAGGAAATTCTAAATCTTTTATCTATTTTGAATTTCAGGATTTTGGGCAATAGGTCTCAGTGGAAGTCACACGTGTCCTGAAAATTACCACTTTTCTTCTTACTAGGGCATTAGTCCTCCTGAACTCTGAATCTTTAGCTTTCAAAATATCTCAGTAAATGTGATTTGGACCTGAACCATTGATCATGAGCTACTAGTTGCGCAGAAAATTTTGGGTTAATTGCCTTTGGTGACTTTCTCACGTTGTCTATCCTGAAGTTGCTCCACTAAGCTTAGACAGGAGTGCTTTAAATAAATAGAAAGTAAGAAGTTAACTTCCAACTTAATACTCAACACACAATGTACCTAAACCATTAGACAAGAATAAAGCAGCAATAAAGGCAACATTCAGAGTTTCAAAAATTATTGCTCAAGATAAGGAACGTCATGAGGATGCATACTTAATTTGATATTTTCATTTGATATTATGCATACATAATTTGGTAATTTCAAAAATTAATAGTTGACATTATGTCAGCTCTTAAACATTCTTATATAACATTCTATTAAAATTGATTTCAATTGACTAAAAATGTACGATTAGGGGCAATAAATAAATGTAAGAATAGAAAGAAAATCTAGTTCTATATTCTATTACTATAGAATAAAAATCTAATATATTACTAATTTTCAATGCATTCAGAATTTGAAAGAAAACTATGAAGCCTCTGGCCAAAGGGTTTACCATTTCAGTAGATTCTCCAAACTTGATTTGGACAAAAAAATGCAAATATTTAATTGTGTTATTCCTCGTTCTGTGCAAGTCACCTGAGTTCTTGCACACAATGCTCTCTTCTTATGACACAGCTGTAGCTATGCGGCAGTAAGACTCCAAGAAAGAGGCTTCCCCCATTCAATATTTGCTTTGCATGTGTTGCATTATAGAACAGCAACCTGATATGTAAATATTTGTCTTACTGTATAAGTACTATTGATTGGCCAAGACCTACATCAAGCTGATGAGCCAAAGGACAGGAAAGTGTCTGTTCTATACTATGTTATTGCAGTGCTACAAAGGTCACTCTGAAAGTTTTGACAACACACTATGCAACGTTTCATCCAATCAAACCAATTATCAAATGACAATCATCACACTTCTTTAGAGATACTGCAAATCTGATCTTCATATGCAGTCACTGCAGCCTGAGCTGACTTGAAACGATGACCTCGAATTTTTTCTTTCACATAAGGGAAAAGAAGAAACTACATGGGGCCAGATCTGCCTGCCATTGGGCCTGCCAAAAAAGTCTTCATCTTTCAGAGAGTCCCTTCCCCTCTTGAATTCGGCAAACCATTGATTGACAGTGGCTTGTGAAGGGCAACCATTGCCAAACGCACACTGTAATCTCTCGAGGCATGATTTTTTATCTAAGCCAACCTTAGTCATACAAACTCATAGCTCTAAAATGCTTTCTCTTTAGGTCCATTATTACTGGCAGAGGAACAACAACTAATAGAACACAAATAGCTGTTCTAAGTTAATAAATTACCTGAGCATGTGTAAAACTTTCGCGAGATTCTTACTAAAAGTTCCACCTAACAATGGAAATAGTTTCATTGTTGCTGAGTAACTCATTGTTGCTCATTCTCAAAACTTTTGGAGTGACCTTCGTATTTGAGAATATTTTATTTGTTGCAGCATTTTTGCTGCTGCAGGTTGCTAGTATTCCTTCTTACTGTTCTGATGGCTTTTGGTAGCTCAGAGTAGAATTTAAAAATACTACGGTTGCTCTTTAGCTCTGCGAGTTGGGTGACCACTGGTCTATACTGTCAGCTGGTGCAGTTGGGATCATTGATACATGGTAATCAGTGTAAAATGCGACTCTGATGTCCACAAACATGCCTAATGTAAAACACAAGACGGAGGGCAAATACATTTCTGGGCCCACTCTTCCATTAATACTTATTATCCTCGCATGACAGATTTTTTCTTGGAAGTGTATAAAACCTACAAGAAGGAGAATGACCTCATAAATGTAATGATGTCATTAACAAATACAATTGGCACCTACGTTGGTATTCCAGGTTCTGACAGAAATGTGAAAGCTTTTCAACACTACTCTTGTGACAGGACCTTCGAATGCATTTCTGTTACAGCCTCTTCACATAAAATCCCTTTACTTTTATGGATACTTTAAACAATGCTATTTTTAAGGAATCTGAAAACGAAACTTTTATATTATCCATTGCAGTTCGTGCGTAGATTGCACCACCTCCAAATAATTGATAAAGATCTTATAATATCGTAGGAATATACATTTTCCTTTTAATGGCATTCAATATTCAAGAGACTGCGGCAATATCGATGTATATGAAATCATTTTGAAACCAAAGAGCATCCAACTTGCGCACGTTCTTTTTCGTCCGTATTTTCACGCAAAATTACACGAAAAGTACGAAAATGTTCGAAAAATTGCTCATGACTTTATTTTAAAATCTATCTTTAATAAACAAATTTCGTTAATGGAAAATCTCCTTTAATATCTTGCAGGAAGGTTCTTTTTTTGTAACTGTTGCAATTTTCAAAAATTTTGGGTTTTCAAAGATGATGTGGCCTGCACCATTCTCTCCTCCATGCACAACCTTCACAGTATCTACCAAAAACAATCAAATTATTTAAAAAATGTCCCATGCTTCATATAAAGTACCCCAAATATTGAAATATCAGTGTCAAATTCCAGGGGCCGCGACATCAGCCAGATCGATTGGAGAATATCAATTTTGGAGAAAATCGGCTGAACGGTTTGGTCGCTAGCGGTGTTCAGAGACGGTCAGACAGACGTTTTGCCGTCACTCGATTTTTCGGTATCAATGACTCACAACACATGGATTCTGAATCCACAACGCACGAGGACAATTTTTTCTAGATTTAGCAACTGAATTTATCCACTTTTTTGTTGCCAGGGCCCTGTAATAACGAGTTTTTCTGCTGAAAATGCGCATTTTTTTCGCGCAACATTACATAACCTTCTCTCTGCTCCGTAATAATATTTTCGGATAATCATTGAAACGAATAAAATGGTAAAGCGGCATGAACCAAGTTTAGCCTGTGACATTCCACATAATCTGTAACATTCTCTGAAACATTTTGAATAAAAGCTGTCTTAATTTACCGATAACACACGACACGACTATAGTATCCCTAGGATGGTGAAATATAATAACGAAGGATCTGATTTCAATGACCTAAAACATCGCCAAAAATTATCAACAGATTGCTCGTAAAATGTTTTTAAAATGCCAAAATAACAAAGAAAACACGTAATTTTGTATCAAAACAAATTCAGATGCGTAACACAAGCTGTTGGATATGTTACTGATGTAATCGCAGTGGCAGATCGAGGACGGGATATGCCCTCACCCAAAAGACCTACAAAAATTAATTTGCGCAATATATGCAATAAAAAAAGCTAGATTTTCTTAAAAACAACTCCAATAGTTTTTTTCAACTTTTGTTAGGGATAGTGCTAACGTACTCTATGAGATGACCAACACCATTTTGCTGTTGTTTTCATTCCGCATTCTCAGAAACTCAAACGCTATTTTCTCAAAAACAGCTGCAAATTTTTTCCTCAAACCTTTCGTTCGAATAGTGCTAATTTAAATTTAGATGCAATAAAATGACTAGTTGAAGATGACATAAAATTAATTTTGGTATATTTTGTTTTTCAATAATTACACAACTGTAATCTTTTGAAATATCACACACACAGTTAATATGCACATTTCCAGCAATTTGTAAACATTATTGCATTTGTGCGGGGAAGTGACTTCCAATTAAGTCGAAAACTCAAAAGTATTCTCTCAAAAAGAACTTCGAATTTCGCATTTACAGTGGCGCTTGAACATTTCCTTTAAAACGGCTCCAAAATGCCCGTATATGACGAGGTTTTACTTTTCTGTAATATTCTTAAAGTATTACCCAGATTCTACTATTAGCAAATCGAAAAATTGAATGAATTTCAAAAACATGTAATTTGGGCGGCGATATATCGCAGATGGCAAAAGGATGGGGCAAGACCGACAAGCTTGCCGAGACCAAAGATCAATGAAAACCAACTAGTACGAGAACGCCTGTGCCATTCTTTGACACTACTATTTACTTTATCGATACTGCTTACGTAATGTAGAGAAAAGTATGTCATGCTGCGTGAAAAACTGCAAATGTTCTGCAGAAAAACTCGTCTTCTTCGTCGGGCTGTGATAACAAAAAAGTGTATAAATACAGTTGCTGAATATATACAAAAAATCCTCTAACCCGTGGTGTACCCAGAATCCATATTTTGTGGGTCCTTGATACCGAAAAATCGATAGACAGCAAAACGTCTGCATGTATCTGTGAAGAAAGCTAGCGCAAATTTTCCCCAAAATTGATCTTTTCCAATCGATCTTGCTGATATCGCGGCCGCTTGAATTTGAAAACGATATTTTTATTGAGGGCCGGCATACTATACATGAATCTCATGGAACATTTGGGAAATTAAAAGAAAAAATGCACTAAATGTTTTGATTAAATTTTGTTGTTGGATAGTGTTGGAGATTTAAAAGAATGCCGCAGGTCTCATTTTTGTTAAAATCTCTAATTTTTGTAAAAAAAGCAAAATTTCAATTTTTTTGACCTGTTTCTTCAACAAAAAAAATATTTATGACAGAAGTATTTCTTTAATGAAATCTCTTCTTTAAAGACAGATTTTGAAAGAAGGTCACATACAATGGTTCGAAAATTTGTCTACACGGCGTAATTTTGCCAGAAATATAGAGAATTTGAAATCTTATAAACAACTTTTTTCTCAAAAATGGCACCAAATTTAAGACTGGTGCAGGTCTCAAGTTCGTTGAAATTCCTGCTTTTTGAAAATTGCAATAATTCAAACTTTTTCCGGCGTCTTCCTAAAACTACAATTAAGAAGAAAGTTATAATTTCAGCTTCCTTCAGTTTCCTTAGGGTGTGTAGGGGTGGGGATGTGTGGGGGTGGGTGTGCGCGTGCGTGGGTGCGCGTGCGTGTATGGGTGCGCGTGCGCGTGTATTAATGATGTTTTATTTTTATTTAAACATGAAATTGTTGAGCAAACACTCATATATGAGGAAGTTTTTGGTGAATATGTGTTTGAAATCTGAAATTTGTTTTGATTTTGATACATTTTTTTTAACAGCCTGGTGGACAGAGGCAGAAACCAGTTGTGGATGATCAGGAGCTGAAATCTCGAATTATTGCTCGATACAGCTATGTGGATAAAGACGATGACACCAGGGAACATAGGCCTGTTGGACCAAAAGCTGTAAGAGAATATGTCAATTTATCATTTGATTATACCATTTGCTCTTGAGGCAATATTTTGAACCATATTGTCAAATGAAAACTTAAATGGTACTTTATGGACTAAAAATGCGATTTTATATCATTTTGATACTATGAAACTTCTGTTTGCTTGCTAATGATAATTTTAAGTGGGAATTTTTGAAAATTTTCACGGGTAAAAATATATAATATAAATTTTTCACTCTAAAAAGGGGCCATTCCCATGAAATTAATATAATGCAATTTTGGAGTAGTTTGAATTACCCCTCTCCCCTCAGTAACACATCTGTAACAAGTGCTTGAATAATATGACCCCCTAAAAAATATTTTAATATTGTAGTATGAGGCTGATTAAAAACAATTATTTCTGCAAATGTTGATAAAAAATCACTATTATGTACTACTTCACTAACACCTCTTACCTCTCTGTAACACAAGATAACGCTGCCTCAAATCCCTCCTTCCCTCTTTAGCGTTATGTAATGTTTGGATGACCCCTGTGGGGATTTTGATTCGTTTCCCTTCGAGTTGATTCATTTCCCTTAAAGTTGTCAATTGGTTCTTTAACTTTTAAATGAAACTACTCAAACTGAAAAATGTCTCCCACTCTTGTTTGTTTCCCTCTCTTTTAAATTAGTAGTCAAAGAAGATATGTTTGATTGTATTAAATCATTAATTTTAATTGTGTATAGCTTTTGTTTTGTGCTGCAATTGTTTGTTGAATTGTGTTCTATAGTGCAGTTGAATGCACATTCCGTTTTTTGTGTGCAATGTTTCAGGAACCAAAGAAATTGGTTAGATATCGTGATAACAAAATTGTTAGTTTAAAAGGTGAAAGATTTACAGAAGTTAAAAAGGATGAAGATGAAGATATGAAGAAAACATATGTGAGCATTAAACCAGCTCGTCAGTATCGCTTTCATTGATGGATTGCAATCATTACTATGATTGTGCAAATATTTATTTACAGAAGATGTATTGTGATGGTATGTATGTAAAAATTGTACTAGAGATCTCTTTGTTATCATATACTTTGATTAAAACAGTAAGTTTTTTCAAAGCCACAAGCTGAAAAGAGAGGACAACGTTGACATTCAATCAGGAGTTTCTTTACCAAAAATGTACGAGGTAACGAAGCTTACGATTGAATAATTGAGTCCCCCTCTCCTGCCAGTGCACAATCTTGAAAGGACTTCCTGTTTTAATTGAAGTATAGCAAACTTTGTAATACATGGAGTTGGCTTCATTGTTAGGATAAATATTCATGTTTATTTGAGGCTGATAGTTGCAGGAGCAAAATCTTGATAGCATGTATATTTTCAATTCTGCATTCTATCCAGTTGTTGAATCTTCTCTCAAGTTTTTTATTGAGACTAAATGGTAGGATATGCATATGGCCATGAAATAAATAAACTTTCCATTGATTCAAGTTAATAAGTATTAATAGTACATAAGAATTGTTGAGAATATGAAATGTGTGTTGATATGAGAGTATTTATAATCAACACTTTTTCACCTCTCATGAACAAAACATGTTCTTCCAAACGTTTGTCGCAAGATATTGCCATGAAGGAGAATTGTCAAACTTTTGATGCTGTCTTTCAGCAGTTTGGTATGTGGCACTAGGGTTCTCAGTAGAAAGGGGCCCTATTGATCTCTTTCCAAGGTAGCAATTTAGTGAAAGAAATATTTTTCTATGTTCATCTCTCGCTGCTCTGAAATTGAATGGACAAGTTGAAATGTAAACGTAAACTAGTGGGCTAGTAAACTACAACAGCACACACTTTATCACATGATTCATAACAGTTATGTATTATCAAAGTGTGTAGAAGAGGGAGTATTTTCAATGATATTGGAAGTTTTTACCATACTAACAGTTCAACCATTTCTTGAAAAACTCGAACAACATAACTGAAAATTACAAGAAAACTCAAGATAACTTAAGATTTCTGAAACATCTAGTATTGTGAAGTAAATTCCAAAAAGAGAAATATCTCGAACTTCGGTGTTAAAGGTCGCATTTTCGAAATTCTAAAGATTTGGAAGAAAATAGTAACCATGACATTTTATTAATTTCACATTATATGAGCAAAACATTAAAAGGAAAAATGGAAGCCAATTTGCCTAATAACATGCAAGATACTTTCAGTAGTGGGATGGCGCAAATGGTTAATGAAACTGACCGATTTTCCGCTTGCCACAGCTGATATCCCAAAGTTGTGGCAGTCACATATTTCCTGTCACCAATGTAGAACTCTACATGCTTTGACCCGCAGAATATTATGTAACACCAAGATTTATACTGAAATAAGCAATTGCATGTTGTTGCCGCCTATGGTAGCCCACGCAAGACAAAGCCTTTTTTTCTCACAGTGAAACTGAGTTGCATAAGGTCATCAAGGCCTGTTCCTTGTCCTCTACCTTCATCCCAGGAGACACTACTTCGATTATGGCCTTTGGCCGATATTTTCAAGCTCTCTAGTGTTAGAATTTGTGGAACTGTGGCGATATAATCTTTTCCAGAAATAAATTAATTTCCAGGATGTATTTCCTATGTTCACTATAGCCGAGGTTCAGGTTCAGTATAACCGTATCTTCTTATGCTTATTTGTAGGGGGCAGATTTTGATGACCTAAAACATTGCCAAAAATTATCAAAATTTATTTAAAAATTTATTTATTTATTTATATACATATAATTACAGGCAATCGCCCAATTATTAAATATCATTTACATAGAGAGAGATAGTTTGATGGTTTGCACATTAGTAAATTCAGATGCAATATGTCTCACAAATCCAACATCTGATTTGATTTATTAATAATATCATCAATATGTAGATGAAAACCATTTTTCGACATCAACAATACACCCAAATCTCTAAAAGTATGAGACTGATTTCCAACATTGCATGCTCCTAAGTTCATAATTGAATACAATGGGGATTACTAGATCTAGTAAAAAGACAAAGGACTTTACATTTACCATTATTCAAATTCAAACAATTTTGATGAACAACCAATCTAACACGTTGTATTTAAAGTCAGCGTTGTAAATTGATAACAATCTTGTAATGAATTTATAGTTTTATTACATTTTCAAGTCATCAGCAAAAAGTAGGAATTTTGAATATGGAAGTGGTTTTTCCTTAAGATCAAATTTTTACAAAATATAATGATAATAGTGGGCCTAGGGGGAACCTTGTGGGACTCCAGATGGTGACGTATATATTTCTAGAAACGAAGGATTTATTATTTCACAACTTCCTGCTTCTCCAGTTAAGTACTACACGAACCAATTCAAGAATTGTACCATGGATAACCAAATTTCTTCCAAACACATGAAAGTAAAAAGAAACACGGTTTTAAGTATCGACAGGCTTTAGAAAGTCTGTATAAAAATTACATCTACTTGTTTTTTGTATATCTAAATGTTCCAAGTATATAATGTTGGATTAGTCAATCAAAATGAGTAACAGGAGACCCCCTTTACGAAAACCATGTTGTTCTTCGATGCAAATTGGATTTAGAAATTTGCGTCAATGTTAATTGTTTATGATGGCCTTCCATCAATTTAGCAATTATCAAAGTTTAGAGATTGGGTCTAATAACATCTGACATTAGACGTTTATCTTTTTTGTGGAATCCGAGTTATATAACTGTTTTCCCACATCTTTGGAAGGGGGTTCCTTCTCGGCAGAGATTTAATAAATAGTGGAGGATTGGTATCAGATGTCACATTACAATTTTTCAATAATAATGATGGTTACATCAGGGCCAGGAGAAAGTAGTCGGTTTTCAAATTTATCAATAGCAATTAAAAACATCAACGGTGGGTTTATATCCATAAAACTAATATCAACCCGCTTATCGTCCTTGATTTGAATTTCTAATAATTGGAATATTGCGTCATTTTAATACACAGTTTCAAAAAATTTGCGAATAAATAATAAAATTTGTTGAGGTGAATCCCCGCGTTTCATTCCGAAGAAACATAGAATGTTGGTAAGGCCAGATATTTTTCTTAAGTGTTGAGCATACTTCCAAAATGCCTTTAATGTCGTGATCGATAGAAGTTTCAATTCCAATTAAATATCAGAATAATCCTGAGCTTGTTTCGCTTTAACAATTATTTTTCCTCCAATTCAGAGAAGATAGAAATAATGCATTAACATTTCGAGATAGTTTAAAACTTTGAATTGAGCGTGTGATATCTCCTGAAGCATGTTTATCAAATCCTAGAAAACCAAATTGGATAAGATGAAAGAATAATGAAGTTTTCTAGGAACATGTTTCTCAATAATTTTCATAATAATTTATGATATAAAATTTCAATTGATATGTCTAAGGAATTTAACGAGTAAATAGGTATACCAATTAAACTTTAATAATTCTTCATTTATCATGTATTTAATTTTTAAACTTGCTGATTATTATAAGTTCCATGAGAGTCTAAGGTAAAGTTGATAATTGTCATTTTTCAAAGTGATATTGAGAGGCAGGATGATACTTATCACAAAGAAACTAGTGGAAAGTCAGATTTAATTATTTTGTGATACGAGTCCATTGATTGAACAATTAAGTCTAACACTTTGTCATTAACATTTACGGACGTTGTTTAATTTGATTCACGTTCAAGTACATTCCATTAGTATTTTTGTGTAGATTACCAAAATCTGATAAGTGGATACAAAAGTACTAGTTGAAACATTATTTACAGTAATGTAATTTTTCCTGTAGTCCAATTGATATCTGGTAAATTAAAATCACCAGTTATTATAAAATTTAGCTGTTAGAATATTTCTCAAAAAAATATTTTTCCAAGAAGACTCAGTATAATCAAATATAAAGATTAATAGGAGATTTAGGAGGAATACACAGTACTGTATATATATACACTAAGAATGCGTATTGAAGGAGAAATAAAAAGGTTCTCAACAGTTTTGTTTTTCAGTGGAAAATCAATGAAACTCGTCTATTTACGATTTATCGCGATCAGGACTCCACCACCACGTTCATAAGCGCATCTGTCATCTCTGGATTTCTGTCTAATATATCAGTCTATATATATATATATATATATATATATTATATATATATATATATATATATATATATATATATCAATGAATAAATATTTAACTCTGTGTCTGTGATGTACTTGTGAAGCCATGTTTCAGCTAGGATTATGATGTCCAGATTTTCGAAGGCTGGATGAAGTACTGTTCAATGTAAGACAATTTGGTGCGAAAGTCCTCTCATGTTTTCTGATATAAGATTGATAAATCCGGGGATTTGCCTATTTATATGTTTTCCCTGATTGATAGAAGAACTATCTATGGAAATTTTTGTTATTGTACTATCTTGGAAATTATTATCATATGGAACTCGCATTTCTATACTTCAATTTACTATCCAGTAATACCTTTTTCTTCATTTGCCTTCATTTGAGAT